CGCAGAGAAACGAGTGTGCTCTCGTTTCTCTGCGTCTCTCAAAGAGTTTAAAGGCGCATAACTCGGCTCAAAACTATTCGAATTTATTGATTTTTAACTAGATTTGTAGGAAATTTTAAGGGCTACAAGATCAGACAAACTTATTTTCCAAAAAATCGAATGAATGTTTTTTAAATACCGTAAAACCTGTAATAGATTGCTGTGAAAGATATCAAAAAGGGGTCAACTGATAAATTGTTTATCATAATTTCACCAATATTTGATTAGTTAACACATGTTTGCTACCTTTTACAGGAATTGAGATAAATTGGCTTAAAGTTTACAGTGTGGGGGCCTTCTATTACAGGTTTTACGGTATTTGAAAAACATTCATTCGATGTTTTGGAAAATGAATATCATTTTGTAGTACTGGTTGAGTGCTATTACATCAAATTTAGTTGGATCAAATATATTGATTTTTAAAGAAACTGTGGTTTTTCAAATCTGTAATTTTCCAACCTCATAATTTCTTTATTTCCATTCCTCGCCGCAATATGCAAACAAGTCTCTCCATCGACCTGAGCCACATCAGGCTGTCCTCCACTCTTCAACAACATCATCGCACAATCTCGACTCTCCGGTCCATTCAAACTAGCAGCAATGTGCAATGCAGTCTGTCCCAACTCTCCGCCCTTCACATGAATATCTGCTCCATTTCCCAGCAATGTCTCAACAACAGAAGCCTTTCCAGACTGTACAGCAACATGAAGGGCCGTGTAGTTGTCCCGAGTCCGCACGTCTACATTGGTTCCTCGAAGGATCAACATCTTAACGACGTCGTTGAATCCAGCAGCTGCGGCAGAATGAAGTCCAAGTGCTCCTTTCTTGTTTGGCATCATAAGAGGGACTCCTCTTTTCAAAAACGCCAGTGCAGTACTAGTATGTCCTGAGCAGGCAGCGATGTGGAGTAGGGTGGATCCATCTCTAGTTCTAGCTCTGATAGATCCTCCAAACTTATCAATTAGGGACTCCACCATCTGCGTATCTCCTCTCTCGGCTGCCACGTGGACTGGAGTTTTGTCCTCTTTGTCATGGATGTTTGCATCGGCGCGAAGTTTGAACATGATTTTGAGCATTCCTTGGTCCCCAACCTCGGCTACCTAAAAACAAAGCTGGCTTAAGCTTATTACTTAATGAAATCGGGTACCTCATGAAGCGGCGTCCGTCCCACCAAATTTTGCACATTCGCATTATCACAACCAGCCGCGATCGCTGTTCTCACAGCTTCAATACTACCACTTCTCGCTGCCAAATGTAATAAAGTATCCCCATTTCCATCAGCCTTCCTCGTTTGCTCATCCGACGGTCCTGATAACAATAGCTCCACAATATTCACATTTCCAAATTTGAAGGCCAAATGAATAGGGAGGGATCCCTCGCCATCTTCGGCCATTCGCTGATCGGCATCTTCCAAAATCCGCTTGACGATTGGAAATGCTTTTTTCGATTTTCGCTCACAAGCCACGTGGATTGCAAGCTGTTTTTTAGGCCCCGCCCCTTTTCGGAGCAACTCGGAATATCTTTTTAAAATGAGTTCAAGGGTCTCTACACCAGAATACATGGCTGCAATATGAGTGGCATTTCGGCCGTCTTTGGTGATGTAATCCACTCTGGCGCCTTTTCGAATCATTTTGTCGACGATTTGATCCTTTCCAGCTTTGACAGCGAGAAGGAATGCAGTGAAGCCATGCTGAAAATTTCAGGTTCTTTCTTGTAAGATCTCAATTTAAAAAAAGAGGAAATTCGGTTAGCCACCCATCAGGCTGTGCTCCGATAGGTTCACCCTCTATATGTGCACTTTGAGCTCAATTATCTCGCTTGGTATAAGAGGTAACAACATTTTGTCAACTGATAAAATGTTTATCATAATATTATTCACATTTTATCAGTTGAGAACATTATAATATTTTTTACAGGAACTGAGATAAATAAGATCAAAAATACCAAGGACGCTTTAGCGCCAGAGAAGCACAGGGAGCACAATTACTTGGATTCAAAATTCTCGGTTCCTATAAAAGATATCAAAACGTAGTCAACTAACAAAATGTTTATCAGAATCTCATCAATATTTTATCAGTCGAATGTTTCATATCTTTTGATAGGAACCGAGATAATTGAGATCAAAGTGCCTTGCTAGAGCAAATACGTAGGAAAAACCTCATTTAAAAAAAAACTCACATTATCAGCCATACTGAAATCGCTCCTCTTGATTGTGCCCATCTCAGTTTCCACATTAACCCATTCATCTCTCTTCGCAAAATATAAAATCTTTGTCTGTGGATCGGCCATTGCCAAATCCTCACTTGACATTTCTTCATGAGACGACGCATGGGAAGTTATACTTTCTCGGAATGGAGGTTTTCCGAGAGTGTTTCCATGTCGGTCCGGTGGTGTCAAACTGTCTCTACTGGGATTTTTAGGCACAAAAATGACTCGAGAGTTCTTGCCGATTTGAAGATGGGTTGAGGATCGGCGGAGGGCAGGTATAGGACGGCCAGGGGTTGTGACATCGCCATCGGCGCTAAGGAGTTCCTGAAATAAAACAGCTTATCTTGCTTAGTTGGATTCGTACCAAAAAGTTGTTCATTACAAAAATGAAGCTCTATTTTTGTTTAGTACATCCTGAAATTCTCAGAAGCATGGAAAAACTAGACTACTTTCGTAGGGTTTCAAAATTGGCTACCGTCTAAAATAAGCCCACCTTATACAAGCTCAATTATCTTGGTTCCTTTGAGAGATATTGAAAATTTGTCAACTGATAAAATGTAGCTGATAGTATGATAAATATTTTGTCAGTTGCAAAGTTTTTGATATCTCTGATGAAACCGAGATAAATCGGCTCGAAGTTTCATAAAATTACCTCTAAACTCGCAGTTCTTCCCAAAAACCATTCTCTACGAGTTGTCGATTTCGTTTTTTTCACAATCTTCTTTGTATTAGTAGTACTAGTACTCGGATGGGACATTTTAAAATTGCAGAATAAAACAATGTTTTTCGGATTTTCGCCTCGGGACTTTTATAGTTTTATACGGGTCCCCAAACGTTGTACTTTTTTTAATTTATCCCTTTTACACCCATGGCGTCAGTTTTATGATGGGGACTATTAAAGAGTTTAATTGGATTTTTTGCCAGTTTTTTTATGACCACCCATAAAATTCGACTAAAATGGGATAGAGGTGGGAAGTAAAAGGAGCGGAGGCACTTACAGTAAGCCCAAGTTGTTTAAGCTCCAGTGGATCCTTATCTCTCAGTAGTTGCTCAATCATTCCGACTCGATTTGAGAGCTCATTATCGTCAAACGATCGGGAGCGCTGAAAAATAGAATTTTAAAAAATTCGGTTGAAAAAATAGATGTTTTAAAAATAGCGATTATGAAAATTAAGAGACTTTTGAAGATTAGAATGACTAACTGCAATAGAAGGGTCTTTTAACTTTGAGCCAATTTATCTCGGTACCTGTCAAAGATATTAAAAAGTTGTTAACTACTAAATTGTTTATCATAACATCACATACATTTTATCAGTTGACCACTTTTTGATATCTTTCAAAGAAATCGAGATAAATCAGCTCAAACTTGACAGTTCCTTCTATCACAGATTTTAAGCTGAATTCTTTCAAAATCATATCTCACCTTTGGCTCCTCCCTCCTCCTATAAATCTTATGATACGTAACCCCTTTCATATCCTCTAACGCCGTTCCAAGTATGCCTTGTCGTGTCTGTGGCTCCTCACTGGCCTGTTCCAACTCCTCCACCATTTTATTCATTTCTCGAAGCCCTCTCGCCAGAATTCCGCCACCTCCTCCGCCACTTCTTCTTTGCCTTCTCTCGAATTCCTGCCTATCTTCATCAGCAGACTTTGGTCGATGTCGATGGTCCCATCCGGTTACTGTAGATCCAGAACTTTCTCGAGACGCCGTGATGGGGACGTCATATGGGCGAGGAGGGATGCTTGGTGGTTGAGGACGTGTGGTGGTGCTTGTGTATTCTCGGGATTGGCGACGTCTTCTGGAAATTGAGAATACAAAATTAAACAATCTCGAAGGCCATAAAATCTGGGAATCGCACTTTGATTCATTTTACATTAAATGCTTTAATAGAAGCCCACCTTATAAGTGCACTTTGAGCCAATTTTAGGTTCTTGGGAAAGATTTCAAAACATTTTAAACAAATAATTTGTTCATCATAATATCACCTACATTTTATCAGTTGGCCGTTTTCTGAAATCTCTTACAGTAACCGAGAAATCGCGTTCGTCAAAGTTGCCGTAATAGCTCTTATAGAAGCCCACCCCATACGTGCTCTTTGAGCACAATTACCGTAAAACCTCTAATAGAACGACACCCGGATCGTC